CAGGTGGGACATGGCCAGAGGTGAGGACTGAGGGTCAGGCTCATGGTAGCCACTGCGAACCTGTAGGTGGGAGAGAAGCATGAGCACAGTCCCACTTTTGTGACGCTGCTTTGGGTGCTCTGTGGGAGATGACTGGAGGAAGGAAAGAAGAGACAGGAGACTAGTCTGGGGGCTGTTGCAAAGATGAAATGGAGATATTTCAACTATGTGATTAGTTAATCTTGAGTATCAGGGGAAGCAGAGATCCAAATGACTCCCTGACCTCTGACTTGAGGCACTGGAAGAATAATAGCACCCTTAGCAGAGGACAGAAATCCCAAAGGAGGTACAGGGTAAGTTTTGAACAAAATAAATCTAAAGCACCTGCATGACAGTGTTACAGAGTGGTATGTCCTACAGGTGATAGATACAGAAATCTGGAGGGGAAATTGAGCAGGAGCTGCAGCTAGGGCAGTTGTAAGCAGAGAGGTGAGGATGAAAACAGAATGTATGAGAGCAAAGAGGGCTCCCCACCTAATTCTGGGGGAGCAAGTCAGGGAGGTGGCTCAGACTCAGGATTTTCCCTACCACTACCATGATACAGAGCTGCCAAGAAGACAGTATCAGTCCAGTTTTAAGGCACTATTAGCTATGTGATACCCAATCTATTCATCAGTTGGAGCACTTCCATTTTCCAACCTATAAAATATGTATAACCATACTCATATAATAAAGGTATTTTAAGACCTAAATAAAGTAAGCTATGTGAAAACATCTAGCCAAGAACATGGCACATCACGAGCTCTCAAAGTAGTATGTGTTATTTGAATGTGAAACCAGAAAGTTCATAGAAATCTTATCATCACTCCAGCCCCAAATTGCTTCTCCTCCTGTGTCTTTGGTCTTTGCCATTTGACTGAAAAGTATTCCTGTTTCCTCCACATCCTGCCACATCTGATCTTACCCCAATTCTGTACTCCTGTCAAATCAGTCCACTTCTTGGACAACACCACCACTGCCTCCAGTAAGCCAACCCGGTCTCTTGCCCGGATCACGGCAAGCCTCCTTCCTGGCCTCCCGCCTTCTCCAGTGCATTCTCCGCACTGCAGCCTGAGTGAGCTTCCAAAAGGCAAACCTGATGCTATTTACTTGCTAAAACCCTTTTCCTCTTTGCAAAAAGTCTGTTTGTAGTATGCAAAATCATTCATGATCCCAAGAACTACAATTTTTACTTAACCTTCCAGTCTCAAATCTCACTTCTCTTGTTTGAAGATTATTCTCACCACACAAACCTTGTCATTCCCTGGTCAGGTCATGTCTCCTCGCTTCCACTCATCTAGTTGGCCCTGCTACTTTCTACATATCTTTTAAGAGTCAGCTCACCTCTTCTGAGAAGCCTCCCTGAGGCTGGGTTAGGTACATGCTCCCATAGCTCCTATGTGGCACTTAATATATTCAAACTCCTCAGTTTCTTTCACTAAATTATGTATTTCCTAAATACAGATGTATTTCTTAGTCATCATGTTATCCTTTATATATAATATGCTCAACAGAATAAGTGACTGTTATATATGTTTGTGTGAATAAATATAAAACCCATTAGAAAGATATGTCTTTTAACCATTCTTGTGAATCATATTGTTTAAATCTCTTCTCTGGCTACCTTTAAAGCCAGAATTTTTAGGTGTGGGATCTTGTTTATATACCCTGTCTATGAAATGGGGGCAATAATTTTACCTACCTCTTAGGGTTATTGTGAGGATTAAAAGAGTTGATACATGTAAATCATTTAGAACTGGCACCTGGAAGCTCAATAATTGTTAGCTGTTATTATTATTGTCACTGTTGTTTTTGTTGTCATTACTATTTTCCTATAAGGTAGAATCCTTCATATTTGACACCTGTCATGAAGTAGGGCTCGATACAAATTTCACAAGGTCATAAATAAAACATGAGGAAACTTAAGAGCCAGAGGTCATGAATCCATGGTCCTCCCACTGTTCCCACAGAAAGTCATGCTGGGATCAGACATTCCACTGACCACATTATAGATAGAGGTTCCAGGCAAGGGACCACACTCTCTGATACTCTGTCCTTTAATTCCTAAGAGCAATTAGAGAACTTGTCTGAAGAGTATAAACAGCGTGCTTAGCACCAAGCAGTTTAGCTTTGAGGGTCAGCTGCTTACAGGAGTTCCGTAGGAAAGTCAGGTCTCCAGCAGCTACGGACCTTGGAGCCAGTGGGAAATAGTAACCCTCTGGACCCAGTCCTTCTTTTTTAGAGAAGAGCAAACCCATCTTCTCATTGACTCAAGGACTCCCTGACTCATTCATTGTCTGAGCAAGCCAGTGGGATATCATGAGATCATTTTTGGACAATGCTGCTTGATGTACCAGCTTTTAAAATTATTCAGAGGAGACTTCCAATGCTGTTGTGCTTATACTTGAATCCATCTTGGGTAGGTTGAGACTCAAGGTTTTCTAAGAATCTGTTCCTCTATAAAGACAAATCCAAAAATTTCTTCTAATAGCTTTTGTTTTAGTCAGTAACATTCATTAATGTGTTGGGCATCATACTAAATGATGAGAATGCAGAGTCAAAAGTAAGCTTTCAGGTCTGGATAGCCTTAGAGGAAAGGCAGATGAAAAATTACAATACAGTATAATAGATGCAATAGTGGGCATGTGTATAAGAACCAGAAGCATTCAGAAATTACTTTGTTCAGTCAGAGAATGTGTTTTGCAAACTGTGAAGCAAGTGTATGTTTGATTAACCCAGAATATAAAATTTAGGATCCAAACAAAAATACTGAAGTCCAATAGCAGATGGTATGACAAAAGATAATATGGTAATCATCCCTAAAATTATGTTAGTTGATATAAAGTTGGAAGGAAGATGTTACGACAACTGAGAAACCTTTCTGGGGAATGGGCAGAGGAAAAGTTTAGGAGTAAAGAAACTAAATTCAAATTCCATCTCTGCCATAGAGGAAATTTAGGCAAGTTTCCTAACCTCTCTGCATCTATATTTTCTCATTTAAGAATGGTGATAATAATAACTACCATACTTAGTTATTTTAAGAATGAAATGAAGAAAAATATGCAAATGACCCAGCACACAATAGATACTCAATAAAGGCAGCTAAATTTATTTCTCAGAATATAACCTCACTTGTCATCTGCTTTATTCTATGCACGTATAACTAGGTAGCTATGGTAAATGGACTACAGAGCTCTCCTAGGGTGGAATTTAAAAGTCTTTCTATAATGGAAGAGGTAATTTTTTTTACTCTATTTTTCTTAGTTACTTTTCAAAACTATCTACAGTAGTTTTGATGCATCGCAAATATTTTAACACACATTCTGCTTTTCTAAAATGTGTTGCAAAATATCTTAAAATCCAAGCCTCGTTGGTAACAAAAGTAGTCAGAAAACAGATAGGAAAAATCCTGTTTGATAAAGATATATAAAATAAATAGAAAAATGCTAGTGTCCTGAAAGGTTAAAGTGTTCCGGTCACAAAGACACTGATAGAATTGTGAGAAATGACCTCTTACAAAAAAGCTAAAACTTGGTAATTAAGAGTTTCCTGAGACATATTATTGCCCCTTCATACGAACTGCCTGTCACATAAATTATACATATTTTTGAGTCATGTCAAATGGTGTCAATTAAAAACTAAATTAACATAAAATGTGTTTCCAAAAATTAAAGAAAGTTTGTAGATGATACTACAGTGGGAGTGCCTCTGTCAAAAATATTAACCCTTGCATTTCTGTATTTCTGTTGATGGAGGGCAGGGCCAAGGTTAAATTATGCCTGTTTTTAAATATTTAGTCTGTTTCTCAGTTTTCCCACCTCAAAAATGGGAAAACTAAACCCTTTCCTTTGTCTTTCTTCCAGAGATGACAGAAGAATAAAAGGTCACATGAATACATTAGAACACTCATAGAAAAATAAAGCTACATAAATTCAGGGTCAATTGTATCACATTATTAGGAAATTCCCAAGAGAGTCATATATTAAACAGGTAAATATCCTGTCTTGTATGTGATTTCATAAGTACCAAAACAAAAACAAACAAAAAAAACCTTATTGTCATCTTTTTGTTACTTTTAGTGTTGGCTTCTCATAGAAATTCCTTTCCTTAGAGCTGCACCGTCCCACAGAGTAGCCACTAGCCACATGTGACTATTTAAAATTTAATTGTAATTGATTAAAATGAACTAAAATGAAAAATTCCATTCCTCAGTCTGACTATCCACATTTCAAGTGCCCAATAGCCACACATGATTTCCTGCTACCACAATGGACAGAGAGAACGTTTTCATCGTCAAAGTTCTGTTGGAGAATGCCGGCCCAGAGGAGACTCCGGCTGTCTGAGGCTGTTGCCCTGTGGCCTTAAGCTAGCCACTGATAGCATTTCAAAGATTAAATGACCTTAGAAGTTATGAAAGGACTTCCTAATCATGTCAGTGTCAGACTAAGGGAATGCCAGAATAGGTGGAGGGAAATTAAATAGGCAGTAAGGAAGAACAAAGGACTGATGGCTAGAAAAAGAATTCACACTGACATTATTTTAAAAGGATAAAAAATGATTCAGGAATTCAGTGCTTTAACAGAAGTGCAATTTTACTTAAAACATGTGTCACACCTGGTTTACACTAAACACATCAATCTTATGCTGACTTTCTGATGTCCTAAATTAAGTTTTGAGACATTCCAGCTCAGTCACACAAAACTGTTTCTCCACGTTGGGATGAAACTTAACCTCACTGTGTAAACCACATCTTTAAAAACATATTTTCCCCTCAGAAGGGTCAGCAGGTGCTATGGAGATTCTAGTAATTGTTATTCACAACATTTGTGTTTATCCTTGTTTGGACAGCTTGTATTTACAAGTAGTTGTCATTCATACCAATATTTTTGCTTCTGTTTTCTGGATAAAAAGGAATTATAACTTAGCATATGTATTAGTTGTCCTAAAATGTAAGAAAATAATCTGTGTATGTTTGCATTTAGGTCATTCTGTCCATTGAAGAAGGTTACAGACTTCCGGCTCCCATGGGCTGTCCGGCATCTCTACACCAGCTGATGCTCCATTGCTGGCAGAAGGAGAGAAATCACAGGCCAAAATTTACTGACATTGTCAGCTTCCTTGACAAACTGATCCGCAATCCCAGTGCCCTTCACACGCTAGTGGAGGACATTCTTGTGTAAGATGCATAATGTTGATTTTTCCCCCTTGACAATCGTAATTTCTTTCAGGCTGTAGGCAAGACTAACAGGTAGAGATGAGGAAGTTTGCCTTGATAACTGTCTATTTGCCAACCTTTTAGAATAGTTTGTATAAACCATATTTTACTTATCAGCTGAAAAAGCAATTGGTTAACATTTTTAAAATGGATTTTTTTCTTCCATCTCTAATCTTTCTAAATTACATTTTTTCCTGTGTGGGTGTTTGGTATTTATATATCCTTCCTTTATTTACTGATCCATCCTTACCTTTGTAAGTAGAATTTGTGTGTGTGTGTGTGTGCCACCCCTTTAATTTTCTTGAACACTCTGTGGTCTGTTCCACTATTTGAAATGGCAAGCAAGACAGGGGCAATTTGTGAATCAGCCAAGAGCAAGGATGTTTCCTGCTGATGCGATCACACCCAGCTGTTGTTATTTTCCATTCCTAAAACCAGAAAAAAATCAGATGACAAGACAAGAAATGAAGGCACTCATATAGCATTTTATAAAAGTCAGTAGAATTGAGATCTACTCACCTCTCCCTGCAGAGCAATTATAAGAAGGGGAAGAGTAGAAGAAAGAAAAACAAGATCATCTAAATCTAAAAATATTACATTTAAAATATTACAAAGTTGAAAATATATTTCTTTATTTAGGCCAAATTGGACTTAGAAATAACCAAAGCATTTCCAGAGCTCATTTTCCTGACTCAGGGAATGGCCAGCAAGCTATCCAGATGTTTAACTTTAGGTCACTAGTTCAAGTCAGTGCAGGTTTTTAGTGATAATAAGGCCAAAGGCTCTTCAAGGACTACTTGAAACAGGCCTCAGTTCAGAGCAGAGCACACAGGAGTTCATCTCTAAATCACTAATTGGCAGCCTCAGTAAAGTGAAGCCAAGCATGAAATAGGTAAAGATTAAACTATTACTCTAGCCTATCTTCCCTAAAGCTGTCCAACACAGGAAGCAGTAAAGGAGGGGGAAAAGGGGAGATACTTGGATTTTATCATACAAGCAATGGGCAGCCATGGAAGCATCTTAAGTAAGAGAATAGCATGATCACATTTGCGTTTCCAAAAAAATCACTCTAGGGCTGATTTAGACTGAGAGTACAAAGCAAAGAAGAAGACTGGAAACAGAGACAGTTATATGTTTACAACAATCTGTGCTAGAAAATATCAGGGCCTGACTTGTGATATTGGAATAAGCTTGGGACAAGGCAGACAAATGTGTCTTGGTCATTGACTTAATGTGGAAGGAGGAGGAGATAAAAGAATCAAAGATTTCATCAAGACTCTTAGACAAGCTGGTTGATGTTATTACAACTTGGAGAAAGAATGGAAGACAAGTTTTTGCAAGAGAAATGAGACCATTTGAAACATGCTGAATTGAAGACAGCTGCAGAGCATCTAAGTGGAGATGTCCAATAGGCAGCTGTATCTATAGATTGAACCTCGGTGAAAAGATGTGGGCTTGAGATGTATATTTGAAGATCATCAACATATAGATTGTAGCTAAAGCTTTAAGCATACTTAGGATAACCCATGAAGAACATAAAGAATGCAAATTAACAGAGAAAAAAACACGGAACCCTCTGGAACATCAAGATTTAAGAAAGGAACTGCAAAAGAGTGCCCAAAGGAGAATGAGAAGGAGGAGGCAGACAGGTGATGAGGAGGGCAAGGAAGGAACAGTGTCATAGAAGCCAAAAAGGGAGAGAATCTTAAGGAGTACAATATCCAAGGCTCCACAAAATTTCAGTAAGATAAATAGTGAAGTGTGTCCACTGAATTTAGCAAGGTGTTGTTCAAGTATTCACAGGCAGCCTCTGCAAGAGCATTTTCAATAAAGTTCCATAAGATAGATTGCAATGGAGCAGGAGTGAATATGAGGTCAGAGAGAAGAGCAATGCAAAGTACTGGTCTATTCGTCCAACAAACCTATATCTGAAGGGAAAGAGAAGTAGAGAGCATCTCCTTTGGGTTTTTTATATGGTTTATTGAAGAGATGGGCATGCTTAAACATCAAGGAGAAAGAGCTAGTAGAAAGGGATCGTGGAGTGAGTCTGCATTAATGAGAGAGAACATTCACATCTATAAACTGAAATGGTTTAATCTGGGCCTCTTGTTGTGGTATAGGGTGAACGGTCCTCACAACCAGAGCCCATCAGCAGAGCTCTCTGACTGTTCTGTGGCTGTAGAAGCAGGCAGGTAAGAGCCTATTTTTTAAAGAAAATTAGATAAGTATTTCTTCCCTGATTTTTCAAAATTATGAACATTGGTCATATTAGGAAAATACTGATGAAGAATCCAAATGAGACAATACCAAAAAGTCAAAATGACTCAGAGGTTAAGTCAAGATGAGGGCTCCTGTCTGCAGGCCAGAGGCTTACAGTAGAATGGGGTGTGAGTATTGAGGGGACACGCCAGCAAATGGCAGGTGCTGTGGTGCTTTATACCCAGCACTGGGTACTTTATACCAAGTTGGCAGTTTGACTCAATTCTAAAGTCTAATCTCTGGAAGACCCAATAGAAGTTTTTTGACTGATTTGCTATCCTTGTTTCTGACAAAGCTATGTGCCCTCAGTATACTTTTGTTTGGGAAAAGTTTGTTTGTTTGTTCTAAGGTATCCTGGCTGAACCTTTATCAGCTCTCTCATTTTCATGGCAACCTGAATGGGCTCCCTGTCCATCCCCTCACCTCAGTGCCACCCGCCCAGCCTGTCCCTGATCCCAGAGACCTGAGTCTGCTTAGGGCAAGGAGACATGGTCCAGTGAAGGATAGCAATGTTAGCTAAAGAATAGTGGGTTGGTCTTATGCTTATCCAGCTGTGACACTGCCCTTTCATCCCCCAAGTCCCAAAGCCCAGTCATCTGTCTCAGCATGACATGGGACTAAGGAAACATGACAGGGTGTCGCATTTCAAGCTTTCCTACCATGTATCCCTCCAACAGGTAAAGGAGTCTAAGTGTAAAATCTACAGCAACTCTTGTTAAACTTCCCTGCACGCTCTAGCATATCTGACTCCCAGGGTTCTCTCTCATTTCTTTACTGAAATTGTCTCTCATCCCCAATGACCCCATGGTTTTTATTTTACTCTAATTACTTTTTCCTCAAGAACTCACCCGAGAGGCTTTTATCCTTTCTCTTGACAGAGCAGTAAGAGGGAAGAAATTAAGGCAATAACGGAGGATAAGTAGCTGTGAACCCCACAGCTTAGTAATTTGATACTAACATATTGGAAATAAATAAACCTTTTATCTGTCATCTTTCCTTTCAAAATACAGTGAACACCCAAAGAAAAAATGCTGGTGAGAGAAGGCAGCCACTCCAAATAATGCTTGTATTCTTGTGCCTGATGCACTCCCAAGGGAGTATTCAGAGCTCCATGCAGTTCCTCACCTTCTCACTCTCTCCCCAGCTCAAGGAAGCATATGGATGTATAAGTGAACTTAGCGGTATTATAAATACAACCCTCAATCCAATAGATTGTAAGAAATAACTTGCAAAATTATCTTATTAATATAGGCAGTCATTATTCCATAAAGAGGAATCTCAAACTACTTTCACTTTCCTTCATTCTACGATGATGCCTTATAAACTTTCATAGAAAATGTTTGTAGCTATCAGACGGTGCACAGCCCCCAGGAGAAAAGGCTCAGCTTGAAGCCAAGGCTACATGGAGAACAGCCTCAGGAGCAGAGCCTGGCTGTGGCCTTCGAAACAACTCTTTTCTCTCTCCCCTGCCCTCAGAATCAATCTTGTAACTCCTCTCAACCCCAAGTCAAGCATACTCCCATGGAGTCCAGGGTTACATCTCAGTCCTGGTAGTTTAAGTGGATTGATGACTATATGGGTGTCCCTTCACCAAGCCCTACTTCCCACTCCTGCTCGCATTACCTAAACAATCATTCTCCAACTCTTTAACTATACTCCTGACCCTCCATACACTGCAGCCTACTGGGTGCACTAGGTTGAAGTCACCTGGCTAATTCCCCATTTGGACAGTGCTTCAGCAAAATGGGAGAATAACACTTCCCTCTAGTCCCTGCTCCAGATCCTCACCATGTCACTAAGAATTTTACAAATTATGGGCTCCTTGACAGCATCCACTAAAAGGTGGTATCCAGGGATGGGCAGCAGTTGACCAAGATGGACCATCCATGGTCACCTGCCTCAGAAATCATGTTCTGCCCTGGCCAAGGCACTTAGGAATATTCCTCCCACCCATGGGGCCATAGTTAGGGGTCTTATAATGTTTTAGCTCTTAGGAACTGGAACTGTGACTTTCCATAGTACATATACATCTATTGTTGAACTTTCAAGCACTTGACTTCCAGTAGTATTGAGTGAGGAAGGTAGGGAAAAGCTCAAATCAGAATCATAATTAAGAACGTCTGCTTTAGAAAACTACAAGGAAACATTAAAGACTAAATGGTACCACCTCCCTCTGTTCAGGTAATAAAGCACCTGTAATTCTGTCTTTTGAAGGCAACAACTTTCAACAATTTGATATAAATTCTTCCACTCCTTTTGAAAAGATCTTGCTCAGTCTGCCTAAGCTATACATAATTACAGTACTTCTAAATTGTTTGTCTCTACATACCAAGTCATGGACTTGTTTTGTTTGATTTTTCTAAGTAGCACTTCTAATGATGTTTTTCATGACAGAGAAATAACTGGCTGCCAAAACCAGTGTTGTAATCAAATGATAAGCAAAGCTATATGGAAGACAGAAATTAAATATTTATCAGAACGTATGAAACTTCTAACCATTTGAAAATTTAAATTCTGTTCGCATGAACTGTTAACACAAAATAATGATAATACTAATATTATTATCAATACTAATACTGATACAAACTCTACATTCATAATAACTTACTGCCGTTTGTTAAGAGCCTGCTATGTGTCACTCTTGTACTTGGCACTTTAACCTCTTAAATCATTTAATCCTCAGTCTTATTAGCTCCATCCTTCAGATAAGGAAATGGAAACTCAAAGAGAATCTTCCCAAGGGCACACAGCAAGTGATTAGTACATCAGGAATTTGAGTAAGGCCCACCGTCTGCAAAACCCTTATGCTTTCCACTACACAGATACAATCACACAAAATGACAAGATTTTTCCCAAACAGCACTATTTCTGAATGATTATAGGAAAAGAGACTACAGTTTTACATTTCCACATTGATTTTCTCTGGACTAATCAGATTTCATATATGGAGTATATTAAAGTCCCCAGAAGAATTTGTAGTGAGGCACAGCTTGTCATTTTATGTCCCACTAAGCAAACACGAGAACATAGAGTACATGTCCTCATTCATGGGAAGAAGTAGCAAACACATAGTCCGTCCAGCCTCCCCAACATCCTCCTGCAATGCTCAGACACTTGAAGGAAGAAAGGAACAAGTATAACGAAGCAGAGAAATGAGGAAATCGTGACAACGTAGTTCCAGAATTACATCCTCAGGTATTTATGTAGGGAAGTTTTCCAGTCTTGGCAAATACACGCGTTGCTTCTTTTCCTCATTAACAGCAGACATGACTCACCACGGCGCTCTCTCCCGCGGAGCCCGATGCTGCCTCCGTATTCTTTTCAAGACCGCATTTTGTCAACCACTGCCAATGAATTGTAGTTAACATGCCGTACGAAATCTGTTTCTGTTCCTGGATTATTTCCTCACAAAAATAGGCTTTCCTCGAGGCTTAGTGAACTATTACTCTGGCTCTAGGGACAAGTGCTGGGTACTCTACTCAAAATGATGGGAGATTATTTTAAACAGTATTACTCCTACTTTGCATCTAAATATTCAGACACATCTATAATTTTAAAATTTGCATTACATTTCATTTCATTCCTTCATACTTTCCACCAGTTAACAGCCTTATTATAAGAACTAAGTAATCATATCAATTTTTTAAAAACGTGATGACTTGTTGAAAATAAAAGGCTGACAAAAAAAATAATTCATGCTCCCAGTTTAACATTGTGGAGAGTCAGGTTGTTTCGAACACAGAAATATTTTCCATAAGCATGAAATAGTCACAGAATGTATGGCACGATTCTGTTCATCTGGAAATTTATATAATATTGAGTAAAGTTACACCTTAAATTTTTTAAAGAATAGCAAAATTCTTTCACTAACTTAACTGTGTTCAAGCTGACTATACACCACATTGTTTAGAGGGCAGTGTTTTCTTTTTTATCTGATTAAATAAATTCTTCCTTCAAAAGTTAGGTGGGTAATGTGTGCATTAAGAGATTATTTAATGGATTAACTAAATAGTGTGAAGTGTCATCCCTGAGTCATGATACGAGCAACTTACGTAAGAGCAGTGATACTGAATAAGGTGAATGCACTGTTCTACTTCCAAGTCCCTTAACCCCGCACAACCTCACCCCACCTAAAACTGCCTCTTCCTCCTCTCTGAAACCTATAAAGACAGAGATAAGCAAACCATTTTGCAATACGAGGAATAAGTTAAATAAACCGCACATTCCTTAATAGACTGACAATTACATCAATAAGCACTTGCACTTCCATTTAATGGAATTAAGTAAAAATAGATCATTCATTATGAGTCTGCCATTATGTCATGGACCAAACTTTTCCATAGAGAATATTCAAATCTAAGTCATCACTTACTGAATGAATTCCTGTAATGCTTTCAGCATTGTGCCAAGGCCTACAGAAAATAGGAAGATACATGAGATATGGTTCCTGCCATCAGGGAGCTTTACCTTTCTCTTTTGAAAAAAATTCTTGTCTTGTGGATTTTTCCCAAGGAAATAATTCAACCAAAACAAAAAGCTACCTGCTCTAAGGTTGCATAATCATCTATGATAAAAGAATGTTGCTAGCAATCTAAGAATCTAGTCTGGGGGAATTAACAAAGTTTAAGCATCAATATATGCAATGTTATACACACATCTGCATAGTAGTTATGAAGACTGCTGAAACATGGAAAATATTTATAAATATGTGAAATAAAGGCAATTTAAAATAGGATGGACCCTATCTCTCCAGATTTCGTATGGCATTTCGTATGCTAACCATATATGAATAGAAGAGCTAGGAAAAATGTGCTAGTAGTAAGGGGAGAAAGCCTTTAAGCATGTAATGGTTTCATGTTAAAACAGTATCTTCCCTTGCAATAGTGTTTCTCAAAGTATAACCTTACATAAATCATTTTAATAGATCTCTTACTATTGTATTTACATGATTAATATAAAACATGGAAAACTTTTGAGGATAAAAATCTCCTTGCTTTCTAATGAAAGTTTTGATACCTATTAATAACCTATCTGAGAACTTTCTAAATTAAAAGACTAGTGTTACTGTGAACTCAGAGGTCGCATTAAAATAAAAATTTCTCAGCTCTACCAATGCTATTCATTTTTTACACATTTAGATATATTGGGAGTACATATATATTGTACCTTCCACTGAGTCATTACCTATCCAGCTATACTCCAGCCTTTTCTCTAATCTAAACTCACCATAACTTATACTTTAAAAATTTCCTAGTTCTACCTCTTCCACATTTTTCTGAGGAAAGTAATAGACCTTTGATCTTCTGTTCTATAATATGTACTTTTTAAAATGTGAGCTGCAGGTTTTGCTGTAAAGATATTTCTCAAGTGGGCAGCTCCCACTAATCACCAAATAGCAGAAATTTCTACATGTTCAGAAAATAGAAGACTGAATATATCATTGTAGGCAGTTGATAAGAAAGGGCATTTATTGTTTATTGGGTAACATTTCAGCAAATTCATGTGAGGACAATGGTACCCAGCCCTCAAAGCCAGAAAATAATGACATTTTTCAACTTTGTTATAAGGTGAAAGAAAAGTTATTGCACAGAGGCTGTGAACAACGAGGGGACCCTGACCTTACTAAATCAACTGCCAAGGCAGTCATATAAAGGCCAAAGAGTAACCAGGTTACTAAACATGTGTGCAGAGAAAGGGAATTATAGTATTGAAACATTCTGGGAGCAAATAGTGAATGCTTTTCAACAGAGAAATAGGCCGTTTAATTCATTTAGTATACAGAATGTCCTTCCATGATTTTTCTAAACTAAGGACATAAAATAATCAGATTACATTTCCACTCACCAATTACATGCAATTGTGAAAGCTCAAGAGTTATTCCAGAGCTATCTCAGGAGAGAGAAGTGCAATCATCTGACTACGTGTGTGTATCAAGAATGGAATAGGAATATGAAGGGGAAGTCACTTAAATACATTATTTTAATTTTGTTCAATTTAAACAAACTTTTTTAAGAAGTAACTAAAAGACACTGGAGCCACATTATTTTATTTTAACAAAATGACATTCAGTTGTCTAACATGTGTGGCTTTACTTATGTTAATAAGCTACAAGGGTGCTTTGGCCATTTTTATATTTAAACATAATCAATAGACCTATTACAGCAGCATTTTCTAAAGTAAGTTCCATAGGAACTGGTCAGATAGTTCAGTAAAATAATTCAGAAGCTATTCTTGATCCTCTTATATAGTCACACTGCATTGTACAATAGTGAAGACTCTGAGAAATCATAGTTAAAAACCCTGTTTAACTCTATTTACCATGGAGAACTTTATTATTTTGTATTTTACATGAATTTTTATTTATTTGGTAACACTTACTAATATAAATACCCCTAGGAAACAAATAAATATAACAATTATTGAAGTATTTTTTGGTAAATGCTGTGATCACTTTCAAACTTTGGACATGACTAATCTTTGTTTAGGGTCAAATCAGGAGTCACTCTGATATTCGTTAAAATTAAACAGCCCACAATCAAAAAGCATTGCAATTTATAATACAGGAGAAGAGAATGTGGCTTAACAGCCTCCCAAATCAGAAATGTGGTAACAGAATTGAATAATAATAGAGAGGACACAAGTCACTGTTAATGGTCATCAGACTCAGTATGGACTGCAGTGTAGTCACCAGATATGCACACTTTACTTATGCAAATTTCAATTATATACGAAGTGCAAAACCCCCTGGATTTCCCTGTCATCTCTCCCTACCCCCATACCCACATGAAACCAGAACCCAGTTTCGGAAAAGGGAAGTCAATGTGGCAGTAAAAGAAAAAACAAATAAATGAATTCCTGGCCTTCAGTAGGGACCCTGGCCTGAACAGTTCCAATAGGCATGTTCTAGAGTCTTCAGGAGTCCTATAGTGAACGACTTGTATGGCCATGCAGAAAGTCTCTGGGTTTTGTGTTCCTAAAGACCCAGGTCATGGTGATTTAAGGATAATTTAAAGGATTTTTAAGGGTAATTTTGATCATTAGAGATTTTCAATCGTCACTTTTTGCACTGACCTTAGAACCTAACTCCCATTCTCATATATTTTGATGGAACAATACCAAGGTTATATAGCATGCATATGCCATTCTGCTTCACAATGGGGGGATTCTTATTTTATGTGGTTCAATCACATGTCTCACATATTATCAGTTTCTTGTTAAACCTGAAATAGTTCAATTATAAATGATAAAACTATTATGAAATATCCCAAATATGAATGTCATAAACAATGGATCTAGTTAAGTTTCTATGGATTGTTTCATTCTTTAACTCTATGAAAAATCAGAAGCAAAGTAAATGAAAATTGATTTAACCCTCAATATTCTAATGAAAATAATTTTGTGGTTCACATCTAATGGGGAAGTTTTGCATTACTTAGAAAATACTGATTTGAGTCAAACACCAAATATAAAAAAAAAAATGTTACTGGTTTACTATACTATTAAATGTAAACTTTAGATCTAATAACTTTTTTAATGATATATTTATTACCCTAAAGGGCTAATAACACACTTACACTTATAAAGTGTAAAAAACACTTTATATGAAGGTATATAAAAGCACTTTTAATACCAATTATTTTTTAAAACCATACAAAACATTTTCAACATTAATTTTCATGCATTTCTGTAAGGAGAATAACATAGTTTATTGCCAGAAGAACTTAAATAAATAATTCTGAGTTACTTTTCTATAATTTCTAAAATTAATTCAATTTTTATCCTGTCTGTAGCTTATATAAAACTATTTTGTGTATAATTATATATAATATATGTATATATATATATATTTATGTGTGTAGACACACTCATCTGCTAACCTTCCCAAAATAATATGTTTATATTATTTTTATATTAAAACTACAAAAATACCCCAAATGGAATTCCCTTTGTGTAAGATTTTAGGAACAAAAATACAGATTTCTGCATCACTTACTTTAAGACCCATTGGCACTGGATTCCCTTTTCTTGTTAACACAGTTTTGCACTGGTTTTGCTTTGTTTGGTAACTTGTTAATATTACGCTTTGGGCTATATGAACCCGTGCTTGAATGTATGTAAATCTTATCCATTCAGCTGAGCTCTGTGGCAGCAGAAATTACTTTTTAATAAAAAATTTCTATTGAATGTTTGAGAACAAATAAATGGAAGCTTGATCAATGAATTCACCGTATGAAAGAGAAAGGACTCTCATAGCAAATGTGAAAAAGGCAAAAAGCGTGGATTCAGTGGTAGGTAGGTCAGGAAGTATAAGAGTGAATAGCCTATTTGCCCTCCTTTGGATATAAGAAGAGGGCTGTTTCTCAAGTTTTAAAACATAGTTTTATGCAAGGGAAAAAAGTAAAGAGAAGTTAGCAAGATATGGGTTTTCTTAAGATATGTCAAGAATGAGACCCAGTAGTGACAAAGAGCAGAAAAAGACAAAAGAAACTGGCAAACATAACTGACCAGATAAAAAAGGCTGATTAGACTACTATGGAAAAGTAGGTATTTTTTTAAATGGAGGATTAAAAACATTAGAAGTAAGAAAATTGTAAAAGGAAGAAAAGAAATCTGGGTATTTTTTACTTTGTCTGGTTTTAAATGGTCTCGAAGGGTTGTTTTTGTTTTTCCTTGTAGAATGCCAGAGTCCCCAGGGGAGGTTCCTGAGTATCCTTTGTTTGTCACAGTCGGTGACTGGCTGGATTCCATAAAGATGGGACAGTATACGAATAACTTTATGGCAGCAGGGTTTACAACTTTTGACCTGATTTCAAGAATGAGCATCGAGTAAGTGGTACCAGGTTTATTAATGTATTTTTATTACTACTGTATCTCAGGAAATTGTGAAGTCAAATACTATATTAAGCGTACCACGGTTAAACTACCTTTCCTAAAGCTAGAATGGCATTCCCACATCTTTCTTCACCATTTCTATCATCCTAGTGGAAATTGGACATTACACCACTAACTATTTTCCTTTAAAAGACTATAGTTAACTCAAATAGCTATTTTAAAAAAATTTAATGGTTTCTAAAATGCATATTACTCTGGTTCACATCTTAGATTTTATGTCAACAGTTTTACCTTGGTTTGCTATTTATGACCCACTACACTAATCTTGCACAATCAATTCCTGTAAACGTTCATCAAAATAATTATTGTAGTAATCCAATATTATCACATCATTTTAGAGATCCTTCTCCATATTGTAACAGTCAGGCATTTTTCCACTGTCTCAAAGATTTTCCTTTGCTTGGGTGCAATAAAAATGCTCAACATCTGCGTAAAAGATAGATACTAAAACTGGTAGGATGAGTTGTATGAAATTGCTGTTGTTCTAAATTAGTAATGTCAGTTTCATATGGTTCAACATTATACAATGGTATTTTTTCAGATTATTGAAAGACTGAGAATTTAAATGGAGACCTTATATTATATCTTCTATCCTACATACTGTTTTGCTAATCCATGGTAAATGTATATAATTACTAAATTATAACCTTTAGGCCATGAAATGTCTAATCATTACATTGGTGACTGAATTTGAAATTTTTCTTTGTATCCTTAAATTTGAGGTTGATTTGATGTATTCTCTGACACCAAGAATAAAAGAGTAACTAACTCTTGATGTTCATTTATATCTATGCTTAAAACCTCATTTTAGCTGCTATACAACATTTGGCAAATTCAAAAGCAAATCTGACATTTGCTATATTTAGATTTTCATTTCCTCTCTTTCATACTTATCAAATCTAAATGTTCATATTCTCTCTCTCTCTCCCCCCTTCTTTCTCTCTCCCCCTCACACAGTGATATTAGAAGAATTGGAGTCATACTCATTGGACACCAGAGACGGATAGTCAGCAGTATACAGACTTTACGTTTACATATGATGCACATACAGGAGAAAGGATTTCATGTATGAAAGTATTACAAGAACCAGTGTTTTGTGCCTCAGCATTTCTAAAAAGAATGATATCCTCTCTCCACTACCCTCTCTTCTGATTCTCCCACCACTTCATAAACTGCAGTCTCCTGTGCAGACTGCGGGCACATGCCTTTTGTTTATGCTTCCAACCTGGATTTTAAAATCATGCTTCATAGCTCCTTTCTGGATAACCTGCAAATAAAACCCTGGCCCACTGCAGATTATCACTCCGCAATGGTAAATAACTCAGCATGGATGTGTAACTTTGTATTACAGTACTTAGGAAGTGTTCACTGACTTAACCCAAAGAAATTTATCCAGGTCCAGCTTCACTGATGATGTATTTAGAGTTTGATGGCAGATGAAAAGGAAAATGGTCAATCTTTCATGTTTTGTGATGGGGTAGCTTCCAAATTGACATGAATATTTATTTTTTAGAGAATTATACTCAACTCAATGGGTTGTATTCTTTATCTTTAAAAAGTTTAATTGTTGATGCCTGATATTAGAATTATTTACAGAAATAACCAATGATTTCATGTAGTGAATTCTTGCCAGGGGTGACTGTGGTGAGAAGAGAGTTACCAGACAAGAAGAGGAAGAAACGTTTGCGGCTTTTAAGTTTCCTATGGTTGGGTTTGTTTATTTTTTAATTAACTTTATAGTTTCCTACATACTTCATAGCAGATTGCCACCTGCTTTCCCCTCTAAATTTTTACTGACGATAGTATATTTGTCTACTGCCTTATGAAGATGACCCCTGAAAATACCAAGAGTGAGCCCATTGCTCTAAAGGCTTTCATGGAGTGAAGCACGGGATAAAATTATGGCTATTCCCTTGGTTTATCTTCACAAGTTGCAAAATTAATTATCAAAGCACTGAGAAAATTAGTTTATCTAAGTAGAATTGATTTGAATAAAAGATCTAAGAATCTAGCCTTAGATTTCAATGTAAAAAGGTTAATTAACTTGAACAATTTTATGATAGCTATATGGTAGCCCAAAGAAATAAACACATCTAGATGACTGATATTTGTGCACTTTACAAGTTAAAGAAATTTTTATGTTCTGTTCATAAAAATAAGTTACATAAACATAATGAGCTGTTTTCCAAATCTTCCAAGGGACAAGTATGCCATTGCATTCTCCAAAGAGGATATAAAAGATCTAACACAGGAGCATATATAACTTGTGTATCAACCTGGGTCCATAATATAGTGACATAAAAATGTGAACACAGTTAAAGCATGGTGTTGTCATAATCTTTCCAGAGGCTGAAAAAAAAAGGCAAATATATTTTTCCGTGAATTAAGCTAAGTAAGCTTAACAGAAGTTTATGCTTTCTTACAAGCCCATTCAATTATAAAATCAGTTGTTCCACATGAAACAAAAAAAATGACTACTGTTCTAACTGGACGAGTAGGGAGACTGTGTTAAGAGAAAAAAAGAGCAGGTTGTCTAAAGATGCCTATTTAATAAACCGGTTTTTATTTGATCTAAGAGATAAAAGTGCCCTACCCACATTCTCAAATACCTACCAAAATTGCATTATTTGGTAATAATAGCTTTCTTGCTATTAAAGGAGCTTCACTTTTTCTTTTTTTCTTATTTTAAGATTTGTTGATTGTCCCATTAGACAAGAACTGTCCACATATTTTTTGTTGTTGATTTATCTCCTGAATTTCTGCCAGCACAGCTTATTTTTTCTCATTCCGAAAAAGAACATCTATGGAGATAGAAGAAAGAGTCTTTAGAGTATTCCTTAAAATATACTAAAAATGGAAAATCCATTATTTTTTAAGTAAGTGTGTCAGAAATAGCTAGCAACATTTTCCAGCCATCACCTGCATGGCCATGCATCACTCCTACACTATCTGCAGTTTGCTTGATACATTTACAAAAATCTGAATACATTTAGAGGAAATACAAATTTTCCATATTTACCTGTCCTCAAATATATGTTAAATAAGAACTAATGTAAAACAGATTAAATTTATTAATCATATAGATTTATTTTTATAATACAACAAAAAAGGTATTTAGAAAAATAAGGAATAGAATAATTATGGTCTTCCATAGGACTCTGTCAGCAACATCTGTATACTTTGAAGAAATCAATTCTATAAGGTATTTAAACTTATATGGGATGGGCATTCAGTGCTTACAAGATTAAAGTTCTCTGTTAAGAATTTTTTTCTTAAAAAGTCCAACAATCCTTTTCTATATCTGGTTAATTGTACTTCTTTTTTTCTTCCCTAACATATTTCTCTAGTATTATAAAGCTGCCTTTCGCTTTGTCGCTTACCACAAAGCCTCTTTAAGATTTCTTTAAAATTATATTTATCCTAAGCATGATAACCTTACGTGTAGGTTTGAACCTCATCATGGTCAGAGCAAGGTTGAAATATGTGTACAAGATTAAACAGAAACATTACAAAATAAGGATATCTATTTCTCTACTGCTTACCAATCACAGACCCTCTGATCCCAAGGGTATTAAAATATCCAGTAATATTAACAGTTAAATTGCCAAAATCATTTGGAAATTTTACATGAAATACTTTGAGATTTACTAGTGCACATATTCATTAATTAAAACTTTAATAATCATACATAAGAATTTATAGAAAGAAAGTAACTTCTATAAATCACAGCCGTCAGGAATAATCTTCGATAACTAAAATATGCATATTCATTCATGTACCTGCATTATTTTAAGTGTCCTAATCTATACTACTGAGGGGCTTTTGGATTTTGAAAATCAGACAGTTGAAGAAACCATTTTCATTTTATTTTCTGGGTGGTCGTTTCCAGCCTATAGTCAACTCATTATCTCATAGTATAAGCCAGATTTGGGAAAAATGTAAAAACAATGCACAATCAAAAGAGATTAGGTATGTAAATCATAGAAAAGCAATCAGAAACTGAAAAGCTCTTGGCTTAAGAAGAATAATAAATACAGCACTTTTGCACTGAGTTGTCTTATAACTGTTGATAAATAAATTATGCATGTTGTAATAAAAAAAGATTTATCTTATTTAACACTGTATTACTCTTTAAAATCTATCCAATTATCACCTGAATAAAACCTTCCAGCTACAGGTTGAAGGCCTATCTCAGTCCATGAATGCAAAACAAACTGGAATCCAATCCTTGAACAGCAAAGTCTTTACAGATCTTCTAAACTAAAGAAATGGAGAAAAATGAATTATATTATCTATCTCCCAACCTCTTCCTAAAAAATCCATTTTTATAACTTTCCTTACCAAGTTCTATTCTGTAAGGCAGTTAAGTCTCTTACCTCAAAATTTTCATCAGTACTATGTCTTTTTCTATTCCTTTGTTAAATTTTCTAATATTTCCCTTCTCAGCCCCGTTTTTCTCTCTACTCCACCATCTCATCTCTTTTCCTTTCTTAGCTTCTACCATCCCACTATTTATCTCTATCAGCAAAAGAAAGGTAGTGCAGCAAATCTAAAAAGATCTTGCAGATTTCCTTATGAGAGGCTGAGGGTGGAGGCAAGAAATGTTGCAAAAGTCATTCCTTTAATACTTTGGGTCCTGCCACATAAATGAGAGCATTTGCATTCACAGAAGGTATAAGTTCTGGCTTGCATTACCTGGAAGTTAAGTGCTTTGGAAAGTAATTTCAAAATGGATGATGATGGTAATCCTTTTATGTAGCCTTAGCTAAGGAAATTTACTATTGAAAGAAATTTGTATTTTAAGAATCAAAAACTGTTATTTTAAGTTTAATATAAAAAATTGTATTTTAAGAATCAACTCACAGGTGGTGTACATCTCTCTATAACAAGGAGATTAGAAGCAGATGTATCACATCCTTTAATATGATCACCTTAATTTTTCTGAGCTCAAATTCGGCTACGTAAATTCCACTATGTAGAAGAGACTCATGTTACTCAATGTTCAATCCAAAAATATTTTAATCTTTTTATATTAAGACTCCAAAGATAGGGGAGTAAACCAGGTAAAATTGATGATACTCTTCCATTACGACAGCAAGCACTGAAGCCACCTACATTTGGTTTCTATGATCAACACTTTCAACAAATTTTCAATCTTTATAATGCTCAATAAAGTCAGTGTAAACTTCATTTGGTTCAATTTAACAAATATCTATGAGGTATCACCTATGCATAAATTTTACGGCAAACATGACTTTGGCTGTACTATCCTTACCTACTCTTAAGCTTCAAAGTTAGAGTTTATTTGCAATTTTTGCTGTGATTGCCATGTTGCTTAGTAACATTGCATTGTCACTCTAACAAAAACACATTTAGTAAATAAAAGCTTGTCCAGTGTGGACTGGATTTGCAATCCCTATGGAAAGAAGTATTTTGGACGTCAGAGTCTCACAGCATGCTCCACACCTCCTCTGGCAGAGGGTTGCATACTCACTGGATTCTCTAAACGATCTCCCTTGTTAACAGTTGAGTCACAGATTTTTACTGCCCAGTGGCACACTTTCTACTTCATGAGTAGACTCACTACCTCAAAGGGGCCTCCAATTAGAAAATATCAGCCATTTTCAAAACAATTCTGGAGTAATCTCTTGCCCAAGCCAATTCACTGTTCTTAGTTAATGTAATAGTAAGTATGAACCTCCAGTGGTTCATAAAATTCTTTCAAACATGATATATTCAACAGGAAAAATAGATGATTACTAGGTAAAATAAAGGAAAGGAAAAATTTTATTTTGCAGAAATACCTCTTCTTTCTCTTACTGTTCCCTTAGAAAGAACAAGTATTAGGCAGGTATTTCAAACATTCCTTAGGACAAAAAGGTATTTTTTATGATATTAAGGAGATATGACATGATACACATGTCTTTGAAAAAAGGTCAGAAGATCTAGAAGCAGATAAGATACAGGTCATCCAAATTTAGTTTTATCTAAGCATCTTTCTTCTGACCAATAATTAGATTTGAACTTCAAATTAATAATGGATTTCTATAAAATGTACAAAATATTAAGATATTTACATCTTAATTGAAAACCTTCTGCTCTTCTAATTCAAAAGAGATTTTGGTTGGCATTGGCTTTTTTAGAATTTTACAATAGTTCTGAAAGTCTACCTTAACTTACCAGTGTTGATTCACAATTATTGTATACAAAAATGAAACAAAAAGCTAAAAGGAAACTTTTCAGTTACTAAGGGTAGCAAAGCACTAATAAAAGAATAAACTTAATCTGTTAAAAAGAATCTGGAAAATATAAAGTTTTGTGTATCTCTTGATGAAACCAAGTCATCCCCATTTTATTAAATTGTTGTGATTGGCCATTGAAAGTCAAGTTTCTTTCTGAACAAAACAAAGGAAGATTCTGGTTTGAATTTCCACACTGGTTAATCACAGTACCAAACCTCTATATCATTAAGAGAAGTTTTGATTTGTTTCATTTAAAGGGAAAAATCCTGAAGATGACTCCCTCTAACTTTAAACATACCTATTCATCTTTGAGAATAACAAAGGCGTTAAAGAAAAATTACCAGACAGATGAGGATGAAAGACAGCTCTTTAATGTAAAATGAAGATGTAGCTTCTACTTTTAGAAAATAAAATACAGAATAACAACACAATTTCCTGGGAGTTGTAAATCAGAAAAATTTCAGAATTAGTAAAAAAATAAATATATCTCAAATAAAATTCTGTACTGTAACTTCATTATTTGTAACCTCTGGCTGTTTTTGTCATAAAATAAACTCACTTTGGGTTAATAATAAGTTATCAACTTATTATTCAACTTATCAACTTATAAACCAGAACAACTGAGATACGGCTTTGAAGTGTTCTACAAAACAATGAGGAGGATGAGCCTACCTACTTCAGGATTGATGCTTAGTTAAGCATCACTAACCCTCACTGAAGGGAGAACTGCCTTTATTCCACAATATTACATTATTACAGAGAAAACCCCAAGGACATGAGAACCTTCATTTTTTCATATAGCTAATTCAAATGTCATATTTAGGCATTAAAGATAGATAACCTGTTTTCATGAGTTAAATATGAGCCTAGGAGACAAGCAATATTGATGTGAACATTTCTATACAAGTTTTTCCATATTTACAGTTTATCATCCTTAGGATGGTCTTAATTTGCCTCTGTTCTAAAAAGACCAAATATTACTTACCGTTTTGAAATCATGATAGATGTGGTACATAGTGCTAAATCATAAACAATACACTTCCAAAATTTTTACCTAATTTAAAATGTCCTTTTTTTGCTTTTATAACAAGTTTCTCTTCTACATTTAGTAATTTGTAGAACAAAATGTATGCATTTAGTAATTTGTAGAACAAAATGTATGCATTTAGATAGAAATTGCCTGTGTTAAATTTTCATTTAAACACATCTTCAATCACTTAGAGAGAAGCCAGAATGTAATTAATTTTATTAGCTCATTTTTCATACAAAGTAGTAACTTTTGCTCTCTTTAGATTTATTCAGTAATATCATTATTAAAGTTGTAATTATGTTTTCTTCGTACATGCTTTATTTATTGTCACTATTATTTTTGTCTTTAAAATAAATTTGCTTCAAATTGTTAGAAGTTCTATGACAAAATCAATGACCACTCATTGGTGAACAGACTTGTAACTGAATAAGCTATTTTTTCTGTCGATGTGATTGATGTGAACACTGTTAAATCTAACTTGTTTGAATATCCATTGGTATTTTATCTATAGCTATTATTGCAATATCTTCAAAAGTATTTTTTAAACAATACCGAATTTCATGGACAATATGGTAATAAACAATGGTTAAGGCTTTTTTAAAATTCTGCACTGCTTGGAAAATAAGGTTTAATGTGTGTAAATGTTTGTCAATGAAGTTTTTAATTTGCTNTAAAGAAAATTGTGTTAATATATCTATACTATGCAAAATTTCATCTTCTTACAAATATGGAGTTTTGATATAACTTTAGGTTTTTTAGGCCTCCAAGAGGAAAAAATAAAAATGTGAAATTGGAACATTTTCTTTGGGGGGGGCACAATACTTGAGCAATCTTGACATATATAAGTAAGTAACACTTGATTTCAAAGATTACTATATGTGCTTTATTTCTGAAACATTATTATTTTGTTAATCACACTCTGTCTTGGATTGTGTCACTGAAAATTGTAATAACTACAGGATATAAATGTCTTCTGACATTTTTCACAAACTATACTTCTGTTTAATTTTGTATACAGTGCAAACTTTGTCAGTTTAATTTTGAATTTTAAAGCAATAATTATTAACAATCTGTTTCTTAAAATGTTACTTATGCTATACCTTCTATAATAACCTTATTGTTTAAAACTCAGAGACAGAGCAAAAATGTAGAACACAGAAAGAGACCAAGTCCCATTACAACTGAGGGTAAGACAAAAAGGCGATACAAAGAAGAACATACAAAATGATATGAAAGAGGATTTTGAGTATGTCAAGACTATTAATTACTTCATTTAAAAAAGACTATTAGAAAGAGTAGTTGAAAATTGTCATGTTACTCGTGTTGGTAAATTTGAAACTAAAATGCATTTTGAGGATGAGAATCTCTACTATAAAGAAGTCCACTAATATTTGTTGAAATATATAGTGATATATTTATAAAAATTAGAAAGAATATTTCCAAAATATCAAAAATAGAATTTTTAAAAATTTTATTAATAGACCAGATGATCAAAATTATTAACATTTCCATACTACTAATTCTTTTGATTTCTAAGCATATATGATCAAAGAATTTGCCAAAAGAAATACATTGAATATTGGACAGTTAGAGCACTTTATGCATATGAATGAATCATTCTCATTAATAACTTTTTCTTCTAATATTAAATGTAAAAATATTATATAAAAAGTGCAGATAAAAACAATTGAAAGGGTAGTCTTTTAGAATAAACATGCTTTTATGCAGTTATATATATTCTAAATGTAGTCTTCAATGCTTAAAAAATATGGTACCTACATATTAATTTTATGTTTTATGATCTCTAAATGCTATGTTCTTTCAAGAAGATACTCTTCTCTTTTCAGTTGTTAAGTATTCAAAAAAAAGAACCACTTTATGGTTTATATTTCCATTCAGTCTCATAATGCTTGTAACTTGCTAGTTCTCAAAGAAGTTGGAGCCAAATGCCATAATATAGTGGCTAGAAGTTATTTCTGAAGTTACTCTTCTTTTATCTGATGTTCATCAGATATCTCATAAAGTTGTCTGGAGAAAGCAAACATTTACTTCCTCATGAAAGGAAATTTTAAAAAATCCTCTGTTGGACTTTGTGTATTCAAAATAGTGAACATATATTTTTTTTTGAGAGGGCATCTCTCATATTTATTGATCAAATGGTTGTTAACAACAATAAAATTCAGTATAGGGGAGTCAACGCTCAATGTACAATCATTAATCCATCTGAAGCCTAATTCTCGCCAGTGAACATATATTTTTATAGTTATTTTTCATTGCTTACTGTTCATTCAATTTTTAAAATTTCACCAAATGGGATTCTCCAAACAAAACTAAAACCATTCCATTTTGTATAAACTGCTTATTTTCTTCAGTCTCCAAAAATTCCCTTGAGGAAGCAAATCCTTCCTTTTCCCAGCTTGCAACCTTGATCACTCTACCATTAAATCAGTTATCTACCTACAGTATAAGCCAAAGAGCAACAGTAACAATAAATGAGTTGTCCAGTAAAACTCTGTACACCACTAACAGGTATAACAAATAAAATTAAACAAAATAAAGTCATGTCTGTTTGCTGGTCCAAATTATATAATCCCTAAATTTTGAAATGAGTATTTTAAATATACTTACTTTAAATATTTTTTATTTTAATATATTTATTCATAAGTCCATTAATTCCACTAACTAATGTTTATTGGACACTATCATGTGCCATTGTCCTATTCTAAGCACTGAGGATACAGAATGACCAAGACAATAGCCCCTGTCTCTTACTTGGTAAAGACACAAAGAAGTAGTGATAAATGTTATGCTGATAATTAATAATGTTACATAGCATAACTATGAGTTCTTTACATTAAGTGGTAAGGGAAATCTTTTCTGAACATGTGACATTTAAACTGATATCTGAAATGCATGTAGGAACCAGTCATGAGTAGATCTGGGGGAAGAACATTCCAGGCAGAGGGAACAGTTTAATGTGAGGGAGTTTGGAGTATATGAGGGTAGACAGAACCATGTGATTGGTACACAGTAGGTGAGCCAAAGAGAGACATTTACGAGGCTCATGTAATAGTTGAAGCAAAAAAAAAAAAAGGTAGTTTTTGTTAAAGTGGTAGTAGTGACAATGGAGAGGAGTAGATGGTTGGAGATGTTTAAAGATAGGGCTCGCTAATGGGTTGGGTATGAGGGTTAAAGAAGAGATAAAATAAAAGATAAATTCTGCACTTTGGGAATGAGAAACTGAGTCCATAGTTGTGAAGAAGAAGCAAGTTTGGAAGGAAAAGTCAAGAGTTTGGTTTTAGGCACATAATGCCTGAGATGCCTGTTAGATACTCAATAACATGTAGTTTTTTGTGAGAGTTCCAAGAAGCAATCAGGGCTAGACATCAACATTTGGAAGTCGTCAGTATATCAATAGTGTTTAAAATTTTGAAATCACCAAGGAAAAGGTGGTACGAGAAGTAGGCCTCAAATGAGGTCCAGGGCATTCCAACATTTAGACATTCCACAAAGAATTAAAAGCCAATAGAGGACACTGAGGAGTGTAAAGTAAAGCAGAGGAGGAAAAAATTCAATTGGTCATCTGGATTAAGTGCTTTTAAGAAGTCACGATTAGAACAAAGAAATGGCCACTGGATTTGACAGTCTGGACCTTGATATGGACAGTCTCTATGAAATAATGAAGTGAAAGCCTGATTGAAGTGGATCAAGAAGATATTTTAGGAAAGAAGGTGGAGTCAGTATTTATAAACAGCTCTTTCAGGAAGTTTTACTATAAAGACAGCAAAGAAATAGGGCAGTATCTAGAGGAAGACGAAGGGTTAAGAGAGGTTTTGGTTGTGTGTGTATGTGTGTGGAAAAAGGATGCTACAGCTATTTACATACTAATGAGAATGATGAGGCATAAAGGGGAAAACTGATTATGTAAGAGAATATAATTATAGAAAACGCCTTAACAGGTAGAAGGGTTAGGATTCATAGTTTAAGTAGGGAGGTTAATTTTTTATAGGAGACACATAAAACTGTAATGGGAGGGAAGGCAGAGTGTAATATGCAGATAAAGCCATAGATTTGTGGTTGAAAGGTAAGGATGTTACAATGTGAGTAATTTTATTTTACCAAGATGAGATAAAAATTCATATGGGGAGTAGGAAGGAAATATATGTTGAAGGACAGAGGTATAAGGAGGAAAGTGAAAAGATATATATATGTATATGCACATATATGTACATGTACATCTACATAAATGCATAGTCAATGGGTATTTATGTGTAAGTAATACACTATAGGAAAAAGACCTACTGTATAAAACATTTTAAAGCCATTTTTACTAAACATTTTTGAGATATCTTATTTAGAAGATCTGAAACTGTATTCTGTGCTTTCCAAGGACTCTGATAACAGAATCCTCATTTCCATATTGTAGAGATTAAGCGAAGACTTCTCAGTACCATAGATATTCTCATGTTTTGTTATTTATTTTTGTCTATTATACAGTAGAAGGTAGAAACACTTTGTAGCTATCCTAATTCAAAAGTTGTGAAAATTAAAATTAGTTTAACCCTGAAAGATGTGTATTGTATATGCAAGTTCTCAGTTTTCTCAAAAAACTATTTTGGAGGTTTTTGTGCCCCTGATTTTTTTTTTAAGATAGGCTCTAATCATTTAGTAAAATGATACTTTTGTTTTCATATGAAAACCATCAGTACCACCTGTCATTTAGGAGGACACATGGGCAATATGTTTTGTTCATTGTGCCCTCCCTATTCTATTGGAAGGATGTGATCTTTTCATTGTGCTTGGGTCTTTTTTTCTGGATAGGCTATATGTAATTCAGTGTTTGAATTTATAGGCGCATATTTATTTGGATTTGATGTAAAATTAGATTGTGAATAATGGAGTAAGATTGCTCTCCACATTTTTTGCTGTTGTAGCATAGCCAAAAATATAAAGATATATGTGTACATGTAAATATGTATCTGATTAAACACAATGGCCATGTCAAATATTAAATGGTAGATGTCAGCAGTTGCAGTATATTCAAAATAATAGTTATAAAAATCTTTTTAGCACAAATCCTAAACAGTTTATTAATTTAATACTAAATAGTACATTTATATAAAGTACCTAGATGACTTTTGTCTAGATTCAGACATTTAATCCCTCACAGAGCAGTATTTGACTAATGAAAAACTGCAGCTGAAAACATTTTCCTTCCTATAAGTATGAATGTGATTTTTTAAATGTGTCTCTTTGTAATCTGTCAAAGTTATTTATCCTTAATTATGGATTAAGCACTGCATCCATCCATTCTTACAAAAGGGGAAAAAGATCTGTTTGTGAGAATAAGGAAATGTAGCACCATATTATTTTTTTCTCTTTGGTGTTACTATTTCTCTTTGGTATCACTATTTGGAGCTTCAATATATGCCTTCCACTCAGGTTCCTTACACAGACTATGTTCTCTTTTCGTTGTGTAACAAGATGGTAGAGATAAACACAGTAAAGGGGTGTTAACAATTGAGCTGCAATCCTACCTATTATCTGCTTTACTGTAACAGTGAAGTAGTCCAGACTTACTTGAAGGTGGTATTGTTTTCATCTTATAAACATCTACTGTAATATTATGATGTTCTATGTAAATTTTCATGTGCTAGCATGCTTACAAGTTTATATAATAGTGTTATAGTATGCTCAGCTCTCAATGAGGGATTGTTTGTGGTGAATTGCATTACATTTGTCAGCTATTTGCTGAAAGAATATGGTGTTTAGCAAAAATACCTGCTGAGCAACATAATAAGATTTTTGTACAAAGTACAAATTACTAATTATTGTATTTTATTTTTCTATGATTTCCTAAGAGGCATTACCAGGGTCTTATGGATGGAGTAAGCCTGATTATTAAAATATCTATTAGCAAATAAAAATTACAGTTCTGGTGGCTGAATTTGTGACTTTTTGTATTATATTGATGCATATTTAATATAATTTATTTTTTAGTCTTTTAAATATAGATGCTGTTTAGATAAAGTAATTCTGGATGCAAAATTATAGGTAATTTTTCAAAATAATGTCAGTAAGATCAAGACATGAATTCACATAAATCACTACAAATAATTGATACATATTTTTGCAGTGATTTTATTTCAGCAAAATATTTTGTGAGTCCAAGTAAATCATTCATTGCAGAGGTAATACTGTACACAAATTGCAGAAGACCAAAACATACATATAATGTCCAATTATCCAACACCTGTAGACTATCAACATTCATTCCAAAAACTTGCTATAATTTATATATCAGGGATTTTCTATATTGTTTTAAAACTTGCTGACAAGAAATATATAGAAAGTATCCTGAATGTTTGAATAATCAGAATAGTGCTGTATTCACCATATCTCTTTCTTATCTCTTTTATAATTGTTCTACTACAGTTCCAAAAGCCGGTATGAAATTAAACTGGTAATAAAGTATTTGAAAATTTCTTCCCTTATGCAAGTACCTTAAGTAGCATGGAGAAAATCACATACCACATTTATAGCTTCTTATAATAAAATGAAGAGAGCCAAACTAACTTCTTAAATCAAGTGGTATAATTTTCTGCAATGAGCCTGAGTGTACTCTGCAGAAGAGTTTCAGCTGGCAAAGCACCAAAACAGCAGATTCACCTCATGAAATATTTACATATTTTTAAGGTTGATATTCTCAAAACTGGCATTTTCTGGATGACTGAGTAGATTATGTGTTTCATGAGCTCTATTCCATATGTAATAATTAGTGATCGTATCAACTATACTTATCTAAAATAACTACATACCTAACTTTTTTCATAAAAAAATTATGTATCTGCTTAAATTTACTGAAAAGTTGGACATCTTAGTTCCCCATTATATTTTATTTTTAGCAGATGTTTTGTATTAAACAAAAATAAAACTCAACCTACGGGCAGAAAATAACACCAAACTGGAAAAATTAAATCTGTCCACTAGAGTTTTCTGAAACATAAGATTCTGCTTATTTCTAAGTTAAAAAAATGTCTTCCACCTCATCAAAATGAATCACAACACCCAGACACACAAAAAAGTAATCAGTACCTCCTTGAAAATGCATTCAGAGTCAGAAGTTAACCACCACAATTAGGAATTGGGTCAAATCTTATCCATACCATAAAAATTTCAGGACAAAGACATGAAATTTACTGAACACCTATTATGTGCCAAACATATATACTTCTGTTATCTGTTTAATCTTCAAAACCACCAAATGAGATAAATAGTATCTATTTGAAGGTGAGGAAGCTAAAGCATAGAGAAGGATCAATTGGCTGAAGGCCACCCAATAAGGAAGAATATATAGCCATACTCCATTTTTACAGGACCTTAGTAACTCAGTACTTTCGGATATGCAACTATACGGCTTCTGTTTTTGGTTTTGTTAATTTTTGTTTTTCAGCAGTCACTAGCCCAGAACCACACGTTTTTCATTATAAAAACAACCACATTTAAAAATTTGTATAAGTAGCAAAAGAAAAAGCAATCCATAATCATTCACGTAGGACTCCCCCTCCCCCATGACTTTTACATAATTTTCTAGTTTCTTTTTTCACCCTCCTAGTGCATTTAACAGGGCTGATCTCAGGCTCATGAAAGGCATCATGGGTGTGTGTGTGTGTGTGTGTGTGTGTGNTGTGTGTGTGTGTGTGTGTGTGTGTGTGTGTGTGTGTGTGTGTGTGTGTGTGTGTCAATTTGTTACTATAAATTCCAGTTCGATTTAAGGTGGCTAAAAGTAAGCATTCAGACTATTAATTTCCTGGCCACCTGCCAATCTGATCTGGGAACAGTAATCTCATCACAGATTATGGTTCCTGGAAATCTCTTCAAGAGATCAGACAGCTAAGAAACCAGGGTACAAGCATACTTCCTTTGCTGAATAATGCTTCCGACTTTTTACGCTAGTCTGTCTCCTCTACCTACATCAACAGCTTTCCTCCTCCAGGACTCAGGGTCTAAGACCTGTCAGACCCCGGAAGAGGATCGGCGCGAGGGGCAGCAGGGCAACTCCGGCGCACATCTTGCCCAGAGGCACAGCGGGGCCTGCAGTCGTTGCTACCACGCTGCGCCCTTGACAGATAAAGACGCAGAGAATCCTCAGTGCGCTAGGCGCCACACTTCAGCACCCGCCCTTGGGAGCTGACATTACCGAAAGGCGGGGGTCACCAGGGCGGAGAGAAACCCCGGCAGGAAACGCGGACGCCAAACGCTTCCCAGCAGGCTGTGCGCGCCTATAACTCCCAGCATGCTCCAGCGGGGACTGCTCGGCTCCTCACTGGAAGGCGTCAGTTCAACTGCCATTGTGTTCACACCTTTGAAACGCGTCGCTGTATCTACGGCAGTTTCGGGACTCTTCAGTCTCTTGAGCAAAGCGGTCGACTTGGAGGAGGCGTGGCTTCGGGAACGGAAGAACGTCCGGTTGCCAGGGGAACGCCACGCGCTAGGAGAGTGCCCAGCCACTGATGCTCCTGCTGACACCCAGGCTACCAGTTCACCCAACTTGTAGAGGCGGCTTTGCTCCGGACCAGGGATCCTTCCTATGGATGCATAGAGAGGAAGGCTGAGAGACGCCAGCACAGATTCCCAGCCCAGAGACGAACGCGAGCGAGTGAGTCCGTTGCTCTTCCTCACCAGCTCCTAAGCCTGCAGAACTAACGTCAAAGACCAGGTATCTTCCTAACCCTAATTTTTGTGGCTTGCGGCCCCAATCACTACCCCGTCGCGTGTTAGAATTTTTGTTTCCCATGTTTGCACTCCGTAGAGTTGTTTCTTATGTGTGAGAGGTGGAAAAGTAGGAGTCGGCTTATGCACTGATAACTTGGAACCCGAGAAAACTAATTGAACCGGTTTGGGTGAATTTTTGATTGTTTGATTTTAACGCTGCCTAATTTGGGCGTTTTTATTTGGTGTGTGGGAAGTATAATAGAAATTTTATCACCAAAAGCTGAAAGCCATTTAAAGTGTGCTATAATTCACTCTAGAAACACTTTTAATTTGACGAATTACCATTTATAGTGTATTCTTGCCCTACCAGTAGCTCTCTGCAGCTTACCTCCAAGCTCTTAACTTAGGGCTAACATTCTAATTCTTCAGGACTTTTCTGGCTACAAATAATAATTTAGAAAGCAGCTTCTCAGATAACAGCTGAGAGAATTTGATTGGCTAGTGTGCAGAGAGGAAAACAATAAGACAAGAAACTGCAAAGGTAGATTGGTGCCAGATTATGAACAACTTTAAAAGCTACACACATGACAGTCTGGACTTTATTCTGAACGCCAGTAATTCTCAATAGTTACTGTACGTTAGAAACACTATGTAGTTTTTTAAAACACAGATGCCCTGATCTCATCTTCAGATATATTAATCCAATAGCTATTTCCAGTGTGCAGCCAGGGTAGAATATCATGGCTTATAGGAGTAGGGAGCTACAGAAAATTTTAATTGTGCTTCACTGTACATTTAGGACGTGGTAAATAAATTTTGAGTGGCATGAATTGTTATTTTCTATTTCCTTCTTTCATGCATGAAAAAAGTAAACTTACAGAAATGTATTTATTACTCATAAGTAGAAGTGTATGTTAGACCATATGAGTCATTTATAAAGCAACTTCAATAAATGTAATTACATCTTTTGAGACAACTAACTTCTCTTTTAAATAGTAGGTCTTTGATAACAATCATTAGGTATTTGATAAAGGACATGAAAAAAGGACAGGAAATCACAATCCAAAGTTTATGAAAAATGAACAAGTATCAAGCTCTTGACACCTGATGCCAGAGGAGGATGATATGACAAGTGGTCATATTTTTAAAATTCTGTTCAAAATTGTATGGAAAATGGAAAACAAGATATAAGCCTTTATATCAGTCTGTTTAGTACAATATAAAAGTACTGTGAATTAAAATGGTTTGTCTGAATTGTTTCATAGGATCAGAAGGCTCACTTAAAGTAGATTCCCATTTTTAAGCTGATATTTAAAGGAGTATATTGAGTGGGATGTGGCTCTCTGACACAAGGAGAAAAGTCCTTTCAAGTAGCACAAATGGCATACCTGAGATCCAGCCATCCCTTGAGTAAGACAACTGTGGCTCTGTTATAGGAATCATGCTTAGGTGGGGCACTGCATCTTTTATGCACATGACTGAATTCAGCTTTGAAGTTTCTATCCATAATGATTTCCCAAGGGGCCTTTGCATAATCAACCTTGCAGCATCCTTTCAGATGTAGTTGTATTGGAGGCCTCCTACTGTTTAAGTTGCTGCAGCCTTCAAGGTCTGGCCTTGGCTGGGATGGTGTGGGATGAAAAATACTGAAAGAGCTGTAAGATGACAGGCTTCTGGAATGCTGGGTGGAGATGAGAGTAAATCAATGAAATGAAGTGAGTATTTAGAGAACTTTGAAAATGATGGCTTGGAGAGTAACAGGGACTATTTAGAACACAGGTGTATTACTGCTAATGGTGGAGCAGTCTCCACAGAACTTGGGAGCTGGCAAAAAAATATCTCTCTTCTCCCACCACTAATAATGTTTTGGGGGGCAGTAGACCCAAAGGAAGTGTTTTTGAAAGCTTCATTTGGGGACCTGAAATCTAAATTTAACAATACCTTAGAAGGACATTGAATAGCCATAAAGTTACCTCACAGCAAGCAATATTTCATCACTAGTTTTTACTTCAGAATACTTCTATATCTGGATTGCTGATGGTTCTTTTTTTTTTAAGTTTTCATTGGAATGCTTATTTACCAAAGAAATATTTGGTAAACAAATAATGAGCACTTCAGGCACAGGTTAAGGAATTTTCAGAGTATCTGAGAAAACTAGATTAAAATCAAATATCAGTATTTATTTCCTTATTCTATACTAGCTAAAGTTCTTTTAAAGGAATACCTAACAGGATACTTCAAATAAGTTACTTTTAAGAAAACATATTAAGATTCATTCAAATTGTGTATGTGTGTGTCTTATACATAACCTTCTTTCAAAATGGATTTGGGAAGAAATCCCAAATCCCTTAACAAAGAAATATGTAAAGAGTAAGGGAAAATTAAGATATCAGTTATCAGTAGGATTCTATGTTTCTGGTAATAAAAAATGCAGCCTAAACTGGATATAATCAAGCAAACAAAAAAAAGTAAATTTTATGTTTATTACTTCATATAATTGCAAAATACAACAGTAGGGCTGGCTTCAGAAAAAGAGTTAACCAGTAGCTCAAATGATGTAGCTCAGTTTTCTGCTTTTCTGGTCTGCCTTCTACTTTGTAAGCTTCAGTGTCATTGCCCATTTATTGTTCCAGTTTCCAGAAAAGGCTGCAGGTGTTTTCAGGTATCACAAATGGCAGACTCCATATGATACTGAATTTAGCCACTTTTTCTTAAGTATTATAAATTACAATGAGAAATGTACGCTTACTTCAAGGGCATTATTCCACATTGCTGGGGTTTATAAACTGCCAATCTGCATTTCAGTTAAGGCTCCTTTCTGGTAATCAGCTTAAAGTTTGTTTACTAATACAAAGCTACATTGACATGGTGTTCTTCATTGTCTTTAAATTACTCGATTGTTTTATCTGCACGCTCATATTTTCCATACTTAAGGTGCCTGTGGGTATATCTTATTTTTTTTCTTTCCCTGACTTGCAGCTGGTTTGTAAATACTTGAGTCACATTATGGGATTGCTAGACAGACTTTCAGGCTTGCTTGGCTTGAAGAAGAAGGAAGTTCATGTTTTGTGCCTTGGCCTGGATAATAGTGGCAAAACAACAATCATTAACAAACTTAAACCCTCAAATGTAAGTACCTCTTAGATGTATTTTTTGTGCTAGAGAAAGTTAGCATGCAGAATTATTTTGTTTGCCATTATAACTTCATTGAATCACGTTATGAAATCTAGTTAACGTAGTACCTGAAAGTGGTAAGTATCACTTACCATCTTTTGCAGGATATTTTATACAGGTATATACAGGCAGATCATTATTTAAGCTGGAATCTTTCCTAAATGCATTTTTCTTTTTCAAAAGATCTTCATAGATATGTCAAGTGTACTTTCAAGTAGCATTGCCCTCTTTTTGGCTCCCTCTTTATATATGAGGAGCAAAAGAAAGGGAAAGATGGATCATTTCTATAGGCTCTATGGCTAATTAGTTCTCCAAGAGTGTGGTGTGCATATCAGTAGTAATAAGCAAGATGGCTTTAAGTCATTTAAATAAGTATATGAGAATACTATTTTAATAACTGAAAAATATATAAAGCTAACACATTCAACACATGGTAAATTATATATAAAGAAAACCAACAAAACGGTGTAGTTAAATAAGACAGAGGCTTCTTTTTCTGTCACCTAAAGAAATCCCGAGGAGGTAGTTCAGGGCTAGTATGGTGACTCCATGGTGGTGAGAAATCTAGGCATCTCCCATCCGCAATGCTGCCCTTGGTGCCTCATTTCATCCCCAGGGTCTTTACGAGGTGACCTTGGTGAACTATATGGTCTAAGGCACAGGGAGGAGAAAATAACAGGGAAAAGGAATAAGTCTTCTTGCTAAATAAGCCCTTTTTAAAGAGCTTACAGAAGCTTCAACTAATAACATTTATTTATACACTACTGGCTACCTCTCTATCTGCAAGTGAGGCTGGATTTTTTTTTTTAAGTGGAGCATATTCCTGCTTCCAAAAATAATAGAGGCTCTGTAAGTATGGAAGAAGGGGAGAATGAATACTGGGTAGAAAACTAACATTTACAGTTGTAAATAGATTTCTTTAGGTAAAAACCTTAATCAGTTAAAGAAAAATTTGAGTAAAAAATACAGATTGCGTATAGATAGGGCAAGAATTAGGAAGCTGGTACTTCAATGACTTAATGGCTGGAGAATGGGAAACTTTGCTCCTGTAAATGGTAATTAAAGGTGGATTCTATTGCCTCCAAACAGTGTTTCAGGCTGTTTCAGTTTTAGGGCTTCAGTGAGAAAGCAGCCCTACTGCTCCATTTTCTTTTGCAACAGCTTCAGCTTTACTTGTACTTAGTCGGAGATTCCTTTGGAATTATAAAAATGCTGTTGTTTCTTTTCTTCCTGTCATTAGTCCCTTCTACATGGATGAGTTTTCCATGTAAAAACAACAAACTGCTGGTGTAGTTTCAGGCAGAAGTTCATTTGACGCAGCCTTCATAAGAAGCTGAAAATGGATTTGAAAGGTAATCCAGGTGTTTTGAGGATCAGCTGAGGTATACGTGCTGAAGTGAGGCAGAGAGAAAATATATATATATATATATATATCAGCTTCATTAAAAGGTTGATTTTTGGAGGGTAAGGTTTAGACTGGCCAGAGGACATGCCAACACTCTTGAATTGAGATTAGCCTCCCAAAATTTCAAGCTCTCCTCCCCAGGGAGAGATGGCACTCTTCTAGTTTACTGAACATCGGAGACAGATGAGAATGCGCGCTTGCGGTAAGCCTGTGGCTTCCAAGTGAGAACAAGAGAGGCAGAACCAAGGGTGCTCAGTTTCATTTCACAGACTGAGCAGTCAAAGAAGTCATTTGTTCCCGTGGAGAGGAATAGATTGGGAGAGGGGAGATAAGAGAAACTAGGAGTGTCATTTTAATAATGGAGTTTTCTTTATATGGAAACATGGAAAAACAGAATCTTCCCAACAAGGAAACAAGCAAGTTAAAAAGCCCACATACACTGGAGTCTGTCTCCTGACCTAGATTGTAAGAAATTTCTCTATCAGTCCTTGTATCTTACCCAGTTGGATGGGGTCCAGAATTGAATTTAGAGAGTGGATCTGTGGTAAAAGACCACTGCCTGGTCAGTCCTTGAGGATTCCCAGACCCATTTCCATTGTGTGGGGGTGGGGGAGCAAGTTTCCCAATTACATGA